ATTTTTTTTCTCATTAATATTTACTATATTACTAGAATACGGATTTTATTATTTTATGTTTCAGTATATTTTTATTAGAAATGACGTTCATATTCATGTATAACCGTTATATATAAGAACCTTCTTGAGATAATACATTTTATATATTTCATGTCAATCTGATTATTATACTGAAATTGTATTTTGCATATAAATGCACACTTAAAGGATTAAAGAATATTTTTCGACGATAAAAACATATTTCTAGCGAAAATAATATTATACGAGTATATACTCGTGTTTACGTGAAAACCCAAATTTGATTTATACGATATCCAAACGATCGCGTTACCCGAGCAGAATTTCCAAGTAGCTGTTGCTTTATATATTTTATCCTACTGTAGCAAATGTTTCCGGTTTAGTATAGCCATTTCAGGTGTATATTCAATGTATAATTATAATTGTCAATTCATAGTGTACGATTGATAATTTTACATAGTATTATGTTTCGAAATATAATTTTCGTGTAAATTATAATTTTGTTATTATTTATTTTATTTTTAATTAAAATAACATCTACTCATGCGAGGATAGTCGCCATTACTATCGTTACAGCGTTACGACCGAATCTTACAACCAACCGTTATAGTCACATTATCAAATTTGTTTGTAAGTCCTTGCAAAAAACAGTTTAACTTCAATAAACAAAATACATGAATACTTTTTTATTATTTTTATTAATATGTTTATTAACCAACTGCCTTAAAATTATCAATAGATTTAAAGATTTAATTTTAAAATGTTCACTCCATTAGAAGCGCAAACTACCTTATGGATTTTCGTTTATGGTAGAAATCTGATACTGATCATCAGCATGTTAAAGGGATTGTGTTTAAAGATAATTTAAATTTTTGTATGAACAACAACTATTTAATATTTTGATATTTTACCACGATAATTTATGAAGAAATAACATGAATATTGGAACTTTTGATGTTGCACATCTTTTTACAATAACATAAATCTAGTTATTTAATAACTTCATTCTTATTAATTCTAATTTCAATGTATCTACTTTTTGAAACTTTTCAAAAATTTATCTTTTCCTATAAAAAGTTAATTGCGAAAAAAAAATAAATAGTGGATTTATTTAGTTATTGTATAAGAAACCCCCGGAAAAAATTGTACTTTGTACTGTTATATTCTTCTATTATCCTTGCAAATGTCGATTAAACAAGAATATTGATGTAATATTATACATGTATATAAGTTAAAGTTATGGTTTGTTATGCATCATTCGATTATGTTATTCGAGTAATCGATATATTATATATAATTAATTGAGACAGAGTTACACTACAGGTAACAGTTATTATAATATGGTGAACTAATAAATATAATATTCTTACTATAATAATTTTTTTTACATACACATTTTGTAAAAATAAACAAACACACAAAAATAAATTACACATCACACACGTATTAGACATAAGGCTATCAGAAAACTTATACAGTAATATCAGTATACATATATCAATAATCCAAAAACTGCTACTCTGCTACACACTTCCTTGCGTAATCGAGACCAACACTGGTACTGTTGTTTCTACAAATAATGGTGTTGGACTAGGCGTTAGAATTGATCGATCATTATTGATGTTGACGATTACCTACGAAATCAAATTACATATTGATAAAAGAACACGTGCTTAGTGAATAGATGTATATCTGTGAAAACTATTTTATTAAGAGAACTCATGATATGATGTTTAACATGTGATCTGGATACTCAAATTTATAACCTCACTACAATAAAATGGTAATTTTTATTGTACTTAAAAAGTGACAACAAAATATGATTTATGACCCCGTTCTACTTACCATAATAAAATAACTGCAAGTCTGCGAGTACTTATATCCCACAATATAATGATATACGCAAATTAAAAAATTCGTAAGCTTAATATTTTTAAATTTCAAAAATAACTGTTTTCATTTTCGCCTTGATTAGTATTTATTTTCCCGATTTACGATTATTAATTTGCATACAATGATAACAATATTTTATGTAGATTTATTCATTTTCCCATTAGTTTATTACTATTGATTTATAAAACGGCCACAGCGATGCCGATAAACATGATTAGGTATTTCAACTTAAAACAATGTCACTTCAATATTTTAATCACCTATAGATAACTATAATTACTAGTTTATATATTATATTATAAATACCATTTAAACATTTTAGCTAATTGTATTCATTTAATTCATTGCAATTTACATTACACTCTCTATTTTCATTTGACAAACTTTGCATATGCCAAGTATATTTCAATAATAAGTATGATGGTATTTTGATGATATCTTAGAATGGGACATACTGTTTTTTTTTTTAAATAATTTAAAAGCTCAAGACAACTTTACAAATATATAGAAAATACACTAAAATACGCATTTTACCAAAGAGTGTTTACAATCTCTCTGAAAATGATTGTATATAACTTAGCCCCACCACTTACCAGTTTCGCTGATTTACAATACAATTAATAATATATGTATACGACGAAAATAGCTAACCTTATTGTCCACAATAAACTCATCTCTAGGCTTATTATCGTTTTTCATCTGCTGTTGCTTGTTTTTTTCGCAGCAATTCATGACACGACGACAACCACCGTTTCGTTTTTTAGCACAGTGCCTTTCGTGGTGATCTCTGTTAAAAGGCTTATCACACTGGTTCTTACTACATTGTTTCCAATGTAGCTCTTTACCACAGTGCTTGTCGTGGTGGTTTTGAGCACATTAATTTATTCTTCTCGTGAAAATTTTTACTACATTGCTTCTCAATATGTTGAATTTCACCACCATGGCTTTTACTACGGTCTTTTCCATGACATGAAAATCCATTACAAGTATTATAAAGGAGAGAAGATCTTACCACCGACCACGCCAAATTACTGCGACTAAAATAACGCGAGTGAATGGAATTCCACCACTTTTGAATAGATTCGAGCTGTGTTGAAATTTCGCTTTGATGGGCAGTGACTGGTGATCATGTAGTTGCAGGGTTAACCACCGCCGTCCAATTGATTTTCGGAGTCAATGCGGTGCGGCGATCAAAATTACGGTGGATAATTCAAATATTACCATAAGCATGATCATTGATCACCAATATCTTAAATGGGGATAGATAAAGATTTATTACTCTGCTAAATAACTAATAAGTGACCAACCGGATTGATTCATAAAGAATGATTCAGTTTAGCGAACGTCACGTCATTAATGGTAGCAGAATACACAATTTTGTAAAAATATGGTTACAATATTTTTATTACTGTACTGTAATGTTTTTTTATTATATTTTGGCTAAGTTACACAGTAAAAAAACTTATTTAGCTAACTAGTTTTGTCAGAGTACTTGGAAACAGTATTTTTTGTACATAATATTTTTATAATATAGTACTAAAATTATACTATTATGCGATTAGATTTCAATCGCAGTTAGTATAAAAAGGTAATAATCTTACATTCTATGATAAACTGTTGCCATATAATTCCTTATAAACTATGAGATTAACACCTTTACTAATATTAATTACTTATTACGTTCTTAATGATTGAAAATGTTCAATTGATTTATTATGCAGTTCGTTACTTTTGACTCTATATGGCTATATCATATTTTATAATATGCTGTATTAGGTTCTGATATAATTGTTTTCATAATATTTACGATAAAATATCATTATCTTCGTAACTTATTTAAAAATTAAGTTCAAAAGCTAAGATTTAGTGTTTAATCCAGCTATAAAAATATTATTTTCATTAATTGTATTTCAATTTAACTATGTATTGTGACAATCATATTAGAGCACATGAACTCTAATAATATTTTTTTCTGAAAATTTATTATTGTTGTGTACTTATTAGATTAGATAAAAAAATAATATTTAAAATTGAAATACAATGAATAAAATCAAAATCATCGCGATGTAACTCATAAATTTTTTTAGATTAAATCAAAATGAAATTATTATTAATCAAATCATTAAAAAATACTAACGCTCTAGTATTGTATATTTTATCTAGATACATGTTAGTTATTTAATTAGAATATAATTTTGTCAAAAAGGCTCACATGAAATTTCAGCCCCGGGCTCCAAAAGATAATTCTTAATCCGGCCTTGGAGTAATGTGAAATAATTGATGTATTTGTATTTCTAATTATTCACATAATAATTATGTGAGAGACATATTATTATATTCAGTAGAACAAATATAAATTACCATATTTTGTATTTATCATCATACAATTTCAACTTTTCGACTAGACAGGACAAGTAAAATCATCACAATCTGTATTAAGATTATGTAACATAATTATTATTGTTTATTAAAATATAAATGTTTTACATTAATTCAATTTTTAAAAAAAAAATTCTGAAATATATCTATATTTTCTACTTTATGATACCTAATTTAAATTTAAAATTCTAGGCTTGTTAATAATACAACATAAATAATTTATTAACCATAACTAAATTACGTACTTTAGTACTTATAATACTTCTACTTCATTTTTCTTTTTTTTTTTTTATCATATTATAAAATAAGTTTGTAATGGTTACTTTTATTATCATAGATTTTCTTCTTTTCTTCGTGAATTTAGGCATAACATATAAATTTTTTACAAATTTACAATACTTTATTTTGATTTTTATCATATGAATAAATTTATATCTGTGCAACTAAGTATAATCAATTGACAATGGAAAATTAACTTAACTATCTATGAGAAATAAACATGATGATAAACACAATGCCATACATAATAACTACAATTTTCAAACCCGATACCAATCAAGATAATTTTATCCTAAAAACATGATAGAATAAAATAGGTACAAATTACTACATTCGTTATTTATTTTCATGAAAACAAACTAGAAAATATATCTTTGTGCTTTATATATTATTTAAATATTATACTTGATATCGTTGTTTCAGTGAAAAACTAAACTTAAACTTGTCATAATGAATCTTTTTTTAATTAATTTACTATCACTGTTATTATCGTGCATTGGATTGAGTGCTCTTAATATTTTTTCTCAATTACCAATCGTAAGTGAATACGTTTTAATATTACATTTTAATTTTGAAAAAATAATATTGAGGAAATAATGCGAAATGCATTATTAATAATATTTACATATTTTTCACAAAGGTCATTTTTTCGCACTTTAAATTATTGAAATATAAATGTCAATAAAATAATTACAAATATCTATAAAAGAAAATCAGGTTAACCTTAAATTTAAATTTAATATAAAAACATGGTAAATTATAAAATATTAAACAGAAACAGCACATCAAACTTGAGTGAAAATAATCTAATTTTGATAATTTTATGCATGTTTTTAAATTTTGAAGATATGATTGTGTGACTGTGTAGATTTAGTAATAATATTTTCAATATAGAACGATGTAATAAATTATATAGGGAATCATAGAGGCATTCTAAATAAAAAAATTGAAAATGCTTTTAAAAAACAAAATGGATTTTCCCATATTTAATTTTATTGAATGTGAATGTCAGAGTATGGTAAAATCTTTTTTACGTTAGCATATACTCTCTTGATATCTTATAGTAAACCATACTATCAATATTATTATTTTTAACCTAACCAGATAAAAATATGCAGATAATATGACACTAAAAATAAACATTTATACATAGTTTAATGTACAGTAAATATAATATTATTTAAGATTAATTATGAGAAACAGTTTGTTAATTAAAAAAAAGTTAGCAAATTTAATTTCATTTAATTAATTACTTTTTTTTATTAACAAACTATAAAGATAATTTTCTACATGTGAACAAATTAACTTAAAAAATTTAGACATCAAAACCAAAATAATTAAATAATAATAATGGAGTTTTTTTATTTAATAAGTATCATGTCTAATGTCATATCCCCCCCCCCCTAAACATAAAATAACTAGCCAAAAATTAAATGACTATTTCAATACAATCCAACAGGGCAACTTTATAATTGGGGGAGACTTCAACGCTAAACATCAATCTTGGGGATGTCGTACCAATAACCCTAGAGGACTCGTCTTATATAACTTTGTCTCAAATAATAATTATAAAGTAATTGCCCCACCTGGGCCTACATACTGGTCAACTTCCAAAAAGAAAAATCCTGATATTCTGGACATCTTTGTCGTAAAAATACCCAATAGAATATTTAATACTATTGAAAACCTTTTAGATCTAAACTCTGCATACTCTTCAATACTTCTAACCTTAAATACTTGCCTACCGACCCGTCCCTAACCACCTAAACTATTCTATTCTCACACCAATAAGCTTCTATTCCACAATCTTGTTCATAAAGAAATTAATTTAAATGTGAAATTAAAATCTACAGAAGATATTGATACAGCAATTAATGATCTTACTAATTGCATACAAACAGCTGCGTGGACATCTACTAATGTAAATGAGCTCCCCAATTTAACTAATCCAACTCCCCTAAAAATAAAACTCGTCATAGCTGAAAAACGTAGATCAAGAGCCCAGTATCAGCGGACTAGACTCCCTTCAGACAAACACAAATACAACAGCCTGGCAAATAAATTTAAAAAAAATTCTCATTAAACACAAAATGGCTTCTTTTGAAAATCATTTATCTAATCTATCCACTAACGATGGAAGTCTATGGAAGGCTACTAAACAAGCTCTTACATACAAATCTACCAATATCCCGATTAAAATAAATAACTGCACTTTAATCTCTACAGACTCGGAAAAAGCAGAATTATTTAAGACTCATTTAATTAATACATTTCAACCTCCTAAAAACATAGTCAATCATGCCACTGTAAACTCAGTTAATCAGTTTCTAGATACACATCTTCCCCTATCTACTCCAGTTGAACATTTCTCACCAAACGATGTCAAGTATATTTTACAAAAATACCATAACCGAAATTCTCCGGGTTACTCTTTATGGAATTTAAATACCCGCTTCCCAATCAGTAAAATATCTATAAGGCTATTATTAGATCGTCGCTTAACATGAGCCCAACACACAAAATCAAAAGGTCTACAATTAAACAATCGCCTACGCATGTTAATCTCATTGTTACACAGAAATACACATACTAACCTAAACATAAAATTGTTAATATATAAAACCCTTCTCAAGTCCATCTGAACCTACGGGCTCCAGCTATGGGGTAGCGCAAAAAAGTCAAACATACAAAGAATTAAAACTTTCCAAAATATTTCCCTAAGAAAAATAACAAATGCCCCTCCTTTTGTTTCTAATCTTACACTTCATAATGATCTAAAAATTAAAACAGTACTCGATGAAGCAAAATGTTTCGGGTGTAGGACGTTTGCGCATCGCTATTGTTACCAATTACCTTTTTTTTAGGCCGTTTGCACATCGCTAATGTTAAAAAAAGACTTAGATTGTTTTCCTATATAAAATAAAAATTTTTATTAATTATTATTACGTAAATTATGATTTCAATAATTACAAAACTATAAATGTATACAAAAATAATCGTTTATATTCAAAAACAAAAAAAAAAAAAATTAATACTTTTGAACGTATACTACCATATTATTTAATCATCTTATGAGATTAGATTCGTTATAAATTGCTAATAAATTACTCATTATTTATATTTATAAAAAAAATACAAAATTATTAAATTTAAATATAATCTAAATATGTTTAAACCTGTGTTTCATTATACTTAAAAATTGTTGTCGATTTATTTCCCCACTCGTATACTTAAAATAATGTTCGTTTACGAATTGTATATTTTTTATTTCTTTGTTTTTTAAGCGGGTTGACTCTCCATTCATTTTAATATTTGTTTCCACTTGAATCTACAACTGTGGTTCCTAAACTTATAACTCATAAGTTATCAGTTATTAATATTATCGTAACCTATATGTTAATCGGTGTATCATCCGGTCATGTCATGTCACTATAGTAAGTAACCTTTTTATTTTTAATTTTCGTGATGCGCAAACGACCAATCAAATGTCTTACCTGAAGTACTAATGATGCGCAAACGACAAACACCGAATGTTTTATATCAAACTACCGTTTCATCCTAATCCTCTTATAAAAAAATTATCAACCTTATATATTCTAGGTAATCCTCCAAGGCGGCTTAAGCGTAGATGGTGTCACGACCTTCTATCAGAAAAATAAATTAATTTAGCTTAAAAAAAAAATAAATAAATAAATAAATAAACTGTTAATTACATACAAAAAATCATTACTCAAAATATGTAGTGTCACTAATGGATGGCTTCTTTCTTCAAAATACTCAAATGCAACTACCTTTGTCACATTTGCTTATTGTTCTAATCAAGAATAGATTGTAAATTTCTTATAAAAATTAAAAAAAAAATGTTTAATGTCTATATATATATACATATAAATTAGAAACTTTCAAACAATTAACTATAAGCACTATAAATTCTAAATTATAACAGCTCATATATATTTATTGACATATAACTAACATAAAATATTAATAAGATATGGATTAAAAATAAAAATTTAGCATGATAAAATAAATTATTTATCAAAAAAAATAGATTTTTATAAAACTGCATGAAAATTTATAATTATCTTAGAAAAATGAATATTTAAAATAAAAATGTAATAATATGTTGTTCAAAATATTTGTGTTTCAAAGTATTTATTGCCAGTTAGCCATATTATTAGTAAATTACCATATTAACTTATAATCATAAATATAAACTAGTACGGTTATTTAGATCACTATTTTTTAATAGTAGTTTTCTACACTATCTGAAGATTTGATATACATATAAAAAAAAAAAAAAAAATGGTAAAACAATATTATTTATTTTATCATTTTATAATTGTTGGTGTAATTAAAAATATTTAAAGTGCTAAAATTATATTATCTAACGAATAGTACTTGTATATTAGTTATATAGGTAAGTAATTATTGTATTTTTTTTCTTTATTCATTATGAAAAAATAATTCTTAACATATATGATAAAATAAAAATAACAAAAATAAACTTTAAAACAGCTACGTTCAAGAATAATGATTATAGTAACAATTTACGATCCAGTTTTATATTTTTTGGATATAAATTAAGAAAGATAAAGATTTATTTTTTGGCCAAAACAAATAGGTAAATACATAATTAATTACATTTCAAATTGTTCAATATTAAGTAAATTCATGCAAAAAGTGATATATAGTTATAATATATTGTTTGGTTGGCCCAATTCACCACTGAGGTAGTACCTCGTATTGGTGATATTGGAGTTTCATAATCATTTGTACATACATAAAATTTAAATTTAAATAATGTTAGCTTAGTGGTTAGAGTATAGTTTAAAAAATTTACAATTTTAGAATAAACAATTATATATTTAAAAGATCAACAAGTTAGTAAATAAATAAATAAACAGAATAGATAAAATATGTAATCGAACAAATAAAATAAATGATATAAAACAAAATAAGATAAAGCGGAATAAAAATTATAATACAGAACATAAATAGGGGAATTATTTTTCGTAGGTACGTTTTATCGGTCATTTATTAGCAAGTTGTTTATATTTAGTGTAATTTTTGCAGTTTGATATATGTTGTGGCATATTATTAAGTAAATCAAGACCTACTTTAACAAAGTGTCTACTTGTCTTTAGAGTTTTATAAGTTTGAACTATTATATTTTTTTCTTGACGTGTATTGTAGGTTTTTGGTTTAATATTAATTAGATTTAGTTTTAAAACGTAGTATATTGAATTTCGTTGAAAGAGTTGTTGAACATTGAAGAATTTGAAGTCTTTGAACAGGTTTTCAGATGAGAAGGTTTTTGGTTTGTTGAGAATTATTTTTACTATGCTTTTCTGAGCTATTAATAGTTAGTTACTTGCAACTATCCCTAAACCACCCCAGGCTGTTATGCCGTATTGTAGTAAAGACTGCGTCATGACAAAGTAAACTATTCGTAGTGTTTGTCTGTCAAGTATTTTTCTGGCATTTAAGTAGAAGTAATGGAGTTTACGCATTTTGATAATTAAGTTATTTACATAAACATCCCATTTTAGGTGTTAGTCAATAGTGACTCCTAGATATTTGCTACTATCAGTTCTATTAATCATCTCACAAGTATCATTATTGTTAAAATTACAGTTTTTTTTATGTATTTTTAGCGCGTTTATATAAGGTTGAGTTTTTTTGTCCTGGGAGAAAGCTATGTATTTGATTTTGGCGAAATTCAACCTCAAATTGTATTTTAGAAACCACTCATTTATTGTATACATGTCTGACTTTGCATTTTGGATCGCTTTTTCCCAGTTAATATCAGATGTAATTAAAGCCGTATCGTCAGCGTAAGAAAATAATTTACCGTGTAATTTTAAGTTTCCTAGTTCAGTTACATATATAATATACAGAATGGAAGATAGTACAGTGCCTTGTGGAACACCAATATCAATTTCCAATTCATTGCTCAGAGTATTTACGATTTTGACTTGTTGTTTTCAATGCTGTAAGTATGATTTAAGTAGATTAAATGATGTATTGACTATTCCTATGGATTTGAAAGTATTTAGTAGTTGATTATGGGAGATACTATCAAAAGCTTTACTTAAGTCCATAAAGATACCCAGGGTTTTTTTATTTTCTTCAATATTTGTATATATGTTTCTAGAGAGTTGTGCTAGAGCATCTTCCGTCCCAATATTTTCTCTAAAACCATACTGCGATGGTGGAAGAATTTCATTCTCTTCAAGATATTTTAAAAAACGATGCTTTATGGCTCTTTCGAATATTTTCGAAAAGACATTTAGTAAAGATATTGGTCTATAATTCGAAATATCTGATTTATTACCTCTTTTATGTATAGGAGTTATTATAGCTATTTTGAATGATTCGTGTATACTGCTTTCGACTAAAATTGTGTTAAAAATATGTACTAGAATATCGTTAATATATTCCTTTATTTTTTTAATTGTATTTATTGAGATTCCATCTTTACCTGAGGATGAATCACCTCTCATGTCAAAAATAATTTTCAGAACTTCTAGTTTAGTTATTTTTCTAAGATATTTGGGTTTAGTTATGGGTATATTTTCATTAGTAATTGAGTTAGTTTTAACAGGATTTGAATTTCCCATATTGGTCAAATATGTGTTAAAAATGGACATAGTATTTCATTATTTTCTCTCGATAAATATTATTTAACACTTTATCTGATTTTCCAAATTTACTATCAAAAACTATCCTAAAATTTGGAGATAGAAGTATTTTTTCTGCTCCATATCATAATGACATTCAATAGTATAAACAAATTAACTGTGAAAATACACTTCATTATTAAACCAATATGTTTATCGTTCAATTAAAAAACTGAAGTTGTAATTAAATATTTAACAAATACATAACAAAGTTTTCATAATAGCATGCTAGTTAAACTATTTTTTTATTTTATTTTTTTGAATACAATATATATATATATATATATATATATATATATAATTAATAGATTCCTGTTTAGGGTCCATATAATATTGTCTTCAAAGAGATTGGCGATTGCAGTTCTCCGCGAAATTATAAAATACGGCATTATTTATACCTGAGTCGTAATCAAAAAGCCAATGCGACTTATATCAAAGGATACTCAAACTTCAGCGTTCCATTTGACGACTCTTTATTTGTGAGTACCTCTAATTTAATATCAATAAAATATGTTTTTTTTTTTTGTTTTTTAGCTTACACTTGTAATTTGACATAGCAACTACAAAAATTAAAATAAACAAAGATTACTTTATACTTCAAACATTATATACTACGACTTTCTGAATGACAACCGGACTGAAATGTCTTAAAGTGTCTAAACGCAAACATTCACGAATTGTTTTATTTGTTGCTTCATTTGAAACATAAAATTATGTTACTCTTTTAATAGTAATATATTAAGCCATCAATTTTTTTTCTCAGTTGGAAATTAATTTTTCTATCAAAGATACAGATGGAACTTGGAAAAACAATACTTTTTTCCATAAATCGCCTAAAGCTTGCACGGCATTCAAGAATTTAATGGGAGCTTCATGGACCCCTATGATGAACGGATTAATAGGACATAAGAATACCACATGTCCTATACCTCCGGTATAATGACACACACACAATTATATAATATGAACTTCTAAGTATATTTTTATCAAATAACTATTAAAATTTAATCAAATTTAACTTGGTTAATATTATGCATCAAGCATAATCGATATTAAATTGTCTTTTTTTTATTTGATTAATTTTTATATGATAATTGAATACTATTATAGATCATTATTTATTATATTAAATTAAAATTGATTATATAATAATGCTATTGTAAACATTAATAATATTAAATAATCGTATACTTTAAATATTTTAGGGCATATACACAGCTTCTGGCATGGATACATCATTAATAAAGGACTCAAATTTTCCAAAAGCATTTGTTTACGGAACATACAAAGTTCTAATTTATTATACATTAAAAAAAGTAATGTATGGCTGCTATTCTTTTGTTGTAGAAATTAAACCTATTTAATGTATAATTTCTCAATATTTATGTAATATTTTAAACTTATAAATTATAACCCAGTATCACTTATAAAGCACAAACAAAGACAATATTATTATTTCAATTTTACATTTGTAAAAATAATTACGCATCAATAAAGTTCCAAATAGTAAAGATTAGATTACAATACATTGTAGGATGGTATTATACAGTTATTTAAAATAAAATTAAACAGTGTTAATTCAATAAAAATGAAAATAATATATTTTTGTTGAAATAGGTATTTTTTAATATTAAACTCCCAATAATTGTACTTGATTTTATTTAATTATCTTTTTTTCACATCACATACAGTTTAATTATTTTTACTCAACAATTATATATATATATATATATATATTATATTAATTTAATTATGTACACATCATTCACTAATAAATAGTCAACAGCCTTTATTAATACTTTAGTTTATTTTAAGATATTTGAGTATTCACGTTTTCTCGAAAAATTTGGTGAAAATTATAAATCCATACTATTAATAATGATTTTGTATTATTTACAAGATAATGAGTTTAATAATTTCTTCACTTTAATACAAAACTATAGTATTTTATTTATTGTAATCAAAGTATCGATTTTTATCTGTGACAATTTACCAACATTATAATCTACACATTAGAAACAATAAAAAACAGCTAAAAATATATTGACTAAAAAATTTTCCAAATAATCATAAATAACTTCGTGTTTCATCAAATCTATTTATTACACCAATTAATTATATTAAATAATAACAATGTTCATTGTTCAATTTCAAATTGGAACGTTTTGTTGATCACTTGTTAGTAATCCAAAAGTTAACATACTGACAGTTATATATGAAATGGAGGGGGGTCATAGAGAGATGGTATACTCGATATTCAACTTTTTAGTTTCTAGTTTCTATACATATATTTATCCAAAATATTATAAATTGCTTATAATTATATAAATAAAGTTAATCAATTTGTATTGATATTTTTCATAACAACTGTATTATTTTTAGTTTAACGTTTTCATAAGACATTTTACTTTTTTAATAACACTGTGTTATTAATTATTATAGATATCACTGGTTTATTTTATTTTTATTTTTCATTTTTTTTTTTTTTTATTAAAAAAATAATATTATTTCTTGTTTAAGTTGGACTACATGATGCCTAGATCTATGATAGACTTATATGTAATTCCTTTGTAAAGCAATTTCTTACAATTCCATGTTTATAAGATTATATAAATACAATACGTTTATAGAGTTAATAGTTGTTATATAAGTAGAAATTAGTTACAGTACATGTTCAACCAACGTTTAACACGTGTGTATTGCGAGTCAGTCTTTATCAAACTTCCGATAGCATATCCAAATTGTCTCCATTATTCAGGTAATATGAACATTATTTGTCCATAAAACTCCCAATATGTTCGCTAACTCTCCCAAAGGGCACTCACCTAGGATAAAACCTCCAAATATAGGTGCAACAGCTCAAATACCTCAAAAAATACAACGAACAAATCTGCAATCAAGTCTATCAAAAATATCACATCGCCAATTAAGCTTAATAAGCAAAACACAAAAAAACAATCCAGTCCAAGTACATCATTAGCAAGCGATAACGCGGTCGCTAATCACAGCACCTCCGTCTCTCTATCTACAACGCATAATTCCTATATCCCTAATGAACCCATTAGTAATATCGATAACAACCACATCGTATTCAATTATCCTCCGGTTTCCATGGCTTCAAATAACATATACAACATGAACATTGTACAACAAAATTAAAGTGATATCACATTTGCAACAATCACCGCAAACTATAAAACGCCATCGAGAGACCAGGTGATAGTCTTCAACTCCATTGACAACATCTCACAAAAAGAATATGTGTTAGCAATTGTGAAAATAGTCTCTCCCAAAAATATCACATTTGTATCTAGAATATCCAACAACCGGTTCTGCATATTCTTATCTAACAAACAAATCTTAGATAGTGACCTGATGTAGGCACGGTGATTGGCCTCAGTCACAAATGTGTTCTGAAGTCAAGAATCGGTCGGAGTCGCTAGCCTCGGATGGGTGACCACCCGAGTTTTTAGTGACGAATCCATGTTACAGACATACATACACGTGTTCCAACCGTACAAATCAAACTTTACAAACAAACCTTACACACAAAAAAAAAAA